TATTACACTTTTAAAACCATCTTAACATAGTCTGAAATTGTTTTCACCTGTAAACCTTTACTAAATTTGATTTGTCTATATTTGTTTTTTCATTGAAATGTTACTAATATTTTTCAAGTCTTTTTCATATTATTCTAGTTCTTAGGAGAACAAGTTAAGAACCATCCACATTTCTAAACTTGTGACATGAAAAAATTTGCTTGTATCAACTGACCTTAAGTGATTAATTTAATTTCTGAATCATTATTATAAAAATTTTAATTCTCCGCAGACTCGCATTAAGATGTTTATTAGAACGTATTTATTTGATGTTGTGTTCAAAACTTTGGGAAAACGAATCGCATAAAAACAGAAAAATATATATATAATGTATCCATTTGTTATTTGATTACATGTATTAGTATTTTTTTTATTTTCGTATGTAAACTAGTTTTCATTCATTTAGCTTATATCTAAATAAAGGTTTCGAGAAATACAACCCTTCACTCTAGGAGTCTTGATTTGATTTTCTTTATATATTAAAAGTACCACATGTATTTTCTAGTTAAAGTATATTTGAATGTACATTTTCCATTGTATGTAACATTTTATGAAGCAAATGTATCGATTTTACTCGTATTCATTAAATTACATTTATTTAAATTTTTAGACTCATCAAATGGCTACACAGCAAGATTTCTTGGTTTCTACGTTTATGTATCAAACACAACAAACCGTCAAGATTGTATTTTATGTTTCCATGATACATACTACACCAGATCTACAATACCTGCAGTTGCCAATATACGATGTCCTTTCCATGGCCAATATGTCATCTACTATAACGAGAGACTTTCAGGCGTCTCATATCCTAATGGATATTCCAGAGATGCACATAATGAACTCTGTGAGGTGGAAGTCAATGGTATGAAGGGATTTCTTGAGGTTGTCTCATTATAAAGTTTTGTGGTCATTTTGACTCTGCCTTTGACGATAATAGTAAATTTCTTCAGAAAAGATACTTTGTAAAGAATTAGAAAATATGTTACAGCGCTTTAACAATGCTTAAAATGTTCAGCTTGAGATAGTAAACATGGACATGTGATTTCATAATGTGGAGAATGTTAACTTGCTGTGTCTACTGATTACATCCTCTGTAAAAAAAAATCATCGGTCAAGAGAGTAGTTCTTACAGAAATCAATAAAGTAGAAATAATTAAGAAATTTCAACTGAAAATGAAACATATCTTTCTTATCTAGAATATATTCCCTTCGGTTTATATTTCTCAAAGAATTTAACAAATTTTACTATTGAATAAAACATGATTCTGTTTAGAACACAGAAGCAAAACTTAGTATTACATCAAACTTGGCATTACTTAAGTCGTCCGCGTTGAGCAGTTGTTAAAGCGTCTGCTCTAGAGTCGCAAAGTATGGAGTTGATCGTAGGTACAGGCACGAAAAAGATCCTTCCCTGTTCAATGGTCTTGAGTGCCAACCATATGACAACATTTGCAGCTTTCCAACGGGAAGTAGTGACGTCTCCATATAAGTTTAAAAATTATCTAGAGGGTCGTTAAACAGTATACAATCAATCAAAAATCAAACAATCATAGTATTTTATCCAGATAAATAGAGAAAAGTGAATAAATATCTGAAAGTTGAAGTATAGTTGATGTTTTGGCAACATCATATCAGTGTTATGAGAAAAGTGCATAGTTTATGTATTGACAATAATAATTCGTTCTTAATGAAGGTTGTAAGACCGGAACTTATGGATCAGGCTGTAATATTCCATGTCCTGACAACTGTCGTTATTGTCACATAGAGACTGGAGTGTGTTCCTGGTGTAAACCCGGGTATCAGGGATATCAATGTGAAAATGGTAGGACATACAATTTGCATATTATATTCTATTTCGAAGATAATAAATGCACGATTTTTATTTTTATTTTATTTTTTTTTTGGGGGGGGGGGGGGGGGTTATTATTTAAAGAGGCACCGTGTAAACTTTCATCTTTTTCTTTCACAACGTGACTTGCATTAGAAGTTGTACATGTATGTATTTGTTCATTTAATTGAGGATGTACACTCTAGAACAAAATCATTGCCACCTTATTTCTTCATGTGTTCAAATCATATCCAATTGCATGCTTTCAATAGAATGTGATGGTGGTGGATATGGCCAGGATTGCGGATTAAAATGTGGAGCGTGCTTAGGGTATAAACAATGTCACCACATCAATGGATCTTGTCTTGAAGGTTGTGATGCTGGATATGAAGGAACGTATTGTTATAAAGGTAACTTTTTAAAAAGAATAAGGTCAGATATTTTTTTTATATGTTATTCACATTTTCATTCCAATTAATTATTTATCATTATTTATTTGCATTGCATAATATTATGTCTTTTGCGTATAAATTGTGTTGAAGTATATAACAATCAAAAGTTCATAATACGTACAGGGAGTTCGAAAAGTTAAAGCGTGATTATTATTTTGACGTCAAAAACGTTGAACTCATGGGAAGTGCAACGTCATGGCCTAATAAAAAACGGAATTGTCACTCTTACACTGAACAGAATTTGTTACATTGGCTATTATGTACACGGTAGCTTACCAGAAGTAAATAACATAGATTTTTAAATAGATTGCACAGTTTTAGTTACTGAAAAGAATTAAGAACAGTTAATCTAAAAATGAATATTTTATTGAAAATAAATTCTCGTAACTGCAATATGCCAAGTGTCGCAGTAGGTGCTGGCACGAAAAAAGATCTCTCATCGCTCAAGGGCCCTGAGTGTCGAAATCTCTAACCCTCCACCGGCAAGTGGTGGCCTCTCCATATAAGTGAATAATTCTCGATAGGGACGTTAAACAACATACGATTAATTAATCAATCAATACTTAAAAAAATAGCTTGTGCTTAATAATATGATTGTGAACATTTCTTAATATCTTTATAACAGAGTGTTCGGCGGGAACGTTTGGAAATAATTGTCAACGAAATTGTAACGAAAACTGCAGCAATCGTTTGAAATGCAATAGAATCAGTGGAGAGTGTGACGATGGATGTAAACCAGGATGGAAGGGAACTAATTGCTCTATGGGTAAAGTGTATTTATTATTTAAAAACAAACTAAAAAGGACAATAAACGTTGTTAATTGTTAAAAATAGAGTATCTTTAACATTTGTTTTGTCTGTGAATTTGTTATATCTTAATTTTGTACATTTTTTATGTTTGCGTCATCCTAAAAAATTATTTTTTATTCAAATATTTGAATTTCTTGATCTCTTATCTTCCATATAGTTGATTATTGGTCTCAGTTATGTATAAACATCGCATTTTTCCCTGAGGATTCAAGATGCCCATCTTTTCTTGTTTTTTTCTATGTAAATCTATTTTTTGTCCCAAGCTTTTTTTTAGCTTCAGCTTCCTCAAGATTGCTCAAACTTATAAAAGTGGTATTTAACGTTCCCTCTGTTCTTATTCTTATTCTAGTTCTAATTCCAAAGCTTCCCCAAGATCTCTCAAAGTGATAACATGAATTTAAACGTTTTTACCGTTCCCCTTCTGCATGATTTTTTTTTTCCTTTTTGCTTAAATTTCCTCTAAATTGTTTCTCTTAGATTGTTGATTTGCTATTACTCTATTTAAAGCTTTTCAACTTTATCAACTTTTTTCAACTGTAAATCATGTGCTTGTTATCATAATTCAGTTTTCTGTGTGTAATTTTGTGTATATTATTTGTACTAAAGCAAGAAATTAAATCAATGAAGAGTTAATATCCCTATTTTTTTTTCACTTGAAATATTTTGTTTTTTTTCTTTCTGATGTTTTAGTTTAGCATTGTCACTATCAAACCAAATTTTTTTTCTTTGTCTGGTAATTACTTTCAATTTAACCTTTGATTATGTATTGGGAAGACATATCTATGGTATATTACGAAGCAGAATGAGAACATTCAGACATATTTTTCTTTCTTTTAATTAAATCAGAATGTGACGGTGGATTTTATGGTGAGGATTGTAGCATGTCATGTGGTCACTGCTTGAATTCAGCTCAGTGTCATCCACTGAATGGATCTTGTTTAAATGGATGTGACGCAGGTTATCAAGCACCATTATGCAACGAGAGTAATTTCAGTTGTAACATATAATTTTCAAGATATGTTCGATCTGTAAGCAAAGCCCATACAACCAGACATTTATCTATAAATTACAGAGTGCATGTACATGTAATAACCAGTTAAGTATCATTCCGTTTTATAGTCGATCTTTTTTCATCTGATATCACATCCTAATGTTAAAGTATGGACTTCTTTTTTCACTTCATGTTTAGCCTGCAACCATGGCTGGTACGGAACGGATTGTTGAGTACAATGTGGCTACTGCAAAGCTTATAAACCATGCCATCACTCGACCGGATCTTGTTCTGGAGTATGTGAACCTTGGTATTCCGGAGATCAATGTACAGATAATGTCTTTACACAAATCCTTGCTAATCAGAGGGAAATGATAGACTTAATGAGAGAATCCACGTCTTTTAAAAGAAGAAATGGACAGTTTAGAGAAAATTTAACATCTCCAACTGACTTTATTTAAAGAATTCACTAATAAAGAACGATCTTAGTTTTTTTTGTTTTTTTTTACGTAAAAAGCATGAGCTATAAATGTAGTCTTTGGGTTTCTACAATTATATATTCATTAATATTATACTTCCATGTAAATTACTTGAATCTGATTCGTCAAGAATCATTTGATAAAAAACACTACTACCCGCTGAATAATGAAGCCGCGCCCTCCTGCGTAGCAACAGTCAACATTGCTTGACGACGGGTGGTATTACAAAAAATAGCGACTGAACGGAATTTATGCGCACACGGTTCACTGTAATATGTATTCGAATAAAACATTCAGTAAAATACAATAAATATTGCATGTGGTTAAGTGTAACATTGAAAATTTCACCCTCGAAAGCCATTGTCAACCTCGGCTGCGCCTCGGTCGAGTGAGTTGCCATTTTAAATCTTATTTGACCGATATCAAAAGTTTAGTTTGAAAATTTTGAATTACAAAGGGGGATCTTTTGAAAAGGCCATTTTAACGAGCTACAATTACTTCATTTTTAATGAAGGATATGGAGATTTTGAACAGTATTCAATACCAAATTCCATAAAACAATATAAAATAGAAGCAGAGCAAACACGGACCTCTTAAACATCAGAGGTAGGATTAGGTGCCATGTAGGATTGGGCATCTCCTGCTCACCGGTCACATCTGCTGCTTGCTCCTTGTCATGATCGACAAATAACGGACAAAAGTGTGTAAGTGAACGTCAGCATTTGACACTATGATATATTGTATTCGATAACAGTGTCATTGTTTCGTACATTGAACTTACAAATAATGTCTTTTAACACGGCTGCTAATATTCTTGTTTCCTCAACTTGTTTGTCAATAATATACCTCTCTCAGAAATGGTTCATACGTAGAGCATACTCTAACGTATCGAATCAACTGAGATGTATAAATGCCATATGTAGCTAATGAAAGTATATTGCTGGATAAGTAAGGGTAGTTGACGATAGGAAAGTAAAAGTAATCACGTTTATTACAGAGCTTAGATGTTAGATAACTATTAACGTCTTTTTCAAGTTATATATCCATGTATGAAAAAGATGTGTCAGACTCTGTCGTATCTTTTATCTCAAGCTCACCAGGGCATATTGCATTGACATAGGAATGGAAATTACTATTGTTAATTGACAATACGGCGTTTATATATCTAAATATTGAGTTGAAAGCAAAAGCAAGTGTTTTCTTCTTTTAACGAATAATATTTTCCATAAATTCTGCTTCATATGAATATAAAACGTTCGCTAAATACGGAGTGCAATTTTTACCCATTAGAAATCCAATCGATTATTGGAAGAGCAGGCCTCTGGGCAATAAATCTTAGACAAGCACCCTTTTAACCTCAATCTCATTTTAAATAAAGTTGTATAATATAATCAGAAAAACTAGTCTCCATAACCTACAGTGGAATTCGAACCAGAGACGTAAGTATTGACTTACTTTGCGAAACTACCTCTCGCGAAGAAAAAAGAATAATACAAATAGTCTTAGTGATCGGAAGGAGAGAATATCTTCGTTGAAACGGAAGACTTTTAATAAAATCAACAATGATTCATTATTATGCACTGCAATTTGTGCATGGTAAGTTAAGGAGCAAATACTCAGTAACATAACCTTTTTATAGCTGAGAGGTCCCTTACAATCTAAGTCAAGTGTCTTGTTTAAGGCGTTGCGCTCTTGTTCTCACATAACTTCCTCATATAGTTATTCCTACCACCATGCTACAAATCGGTCTTCTTTTGTCAGTTCTCTGTATTATCCGTGGATATGGTAAGTTTTCTTGCGAGATAGTTTCTTGTAAATCATTAAATTCGAATGATTTAAAAAAATATGTAAAGAATCCTTAACATTATTGGACGTTATATAAATGCATTAATCTTAAAAGGACACTATAATATTGTTACGACTACAACAGTCTAGCACATTATTGCTGTTGAAAGTGCCACTTATAAATGTTGTTCATTTTATATAGTCTTCAAAAAGAGTATATCATGAAGTTATTTTGTGTTTTTCACTAAGATTTTTTTTAATATAGAAAATATAGCTTTGAATAAACCAACTTGGCAATCACATCCGTTTTACTCTTCAATCTATCAAGATGGTAGTTTCCACTCCAATAACGTTGTTGATGGTCTAAGGACTGATCTTTCAGCCTTCGGAGGACAATGTGCTATATCAAAGGATGGGTACACATCCGCCACCTTGTGGGTAAACTTGACGTCCATCTACAGTATACACGACATAAGGATATATTACAGGACGGATAATAGTCCTTGGGGTAATTTTAGTGTAAATAGTTATTGTTTAACTTCAGGTAATCATTACGGTCAGCATTTTTTTGCTCATCATATTTCTAATCTTTAAGTTCAGGCTTTGTGGAGAATCGTATTATACATTTAATCTTTAAAATATCATTGATGAATTTTGAAACTTACTTCTTAATTTCATCCAGATGTGAAATGTTATTTTTGCATGAATTTTCAAATTTGTTTCAGTATTATTAAAAAAAACTTCTCAGACTAATGTAACAAATAGTTTTTAATGTCCAGAAAGTTCGTTTTTTTTTTCATCTAGGGAAAAATAGCAATTGTTGGCTCTAAACTTTTTTCTACCTGAAAAAAAAAATCAAGGCATGAAAACCGGTTGTTTTTGCAATCACTGCAAAAAAATCTCAGCCAAAAATACATCGAATTCCTTATGTTATTCATGCAAGAAGTGGATAAAAGAGATCGTCTGAAACTTGTAGACGGTATTAGATTAATATTACACTTTTTTGTAGGTCCCTCAAATGGTTACACAACACGTATTTTAGGATTTTATGTCTATGTTTCCAACACGACAAACAGACTTGACGGTTATCTATGTTTTCATGACACAAACTATACAAGATCCACAGTTCCAGCCGTTATTGATATACCGTGTCCTGTACATGGACAATTTGTGATCTACTATAACGAGAGACCTCAGAATTCACCATATCAAACACAGTACTCCAATTATGCACACACTGAATTATGTGAAGTTGAGGTGAATGGTATGGGTATTTTTTTTCAATTTTCGATTTTTTTTTTTACATAAGCTTTGGAGAAACATGTAGGTCTATTTTTTTTCAGAAAAGACTACTTACCCCCCTTTTTTTTTAAATTATAAATATATATCATATTTTGTCTAGGGATTAAAATAAAAACACTTTCCTTTGAAACTATTGTTTTACACGATTGCTTTGAATTACAAACAAGCATTATCTTCGTATCAGTTTTAAAAAAAAATGGAAAATAATTAACAAAAAGTAACTTAATTAAAAACAAAAATTAGTTCATTTAATTTAACTAGGGAAAGTTCCTGCTCTTTAAGGTTGCAAGAAAACTGGAGCATATGGTCCAGATTGTTCTCTCCTCTGTCCTGATACCAACTGTCGTTATTGTCACATAGAGACGGGTGCTTGTCAGGGATGTAAACCTGGGTATAAGGGACATCACTGTGAACTACGTAAGTAGACACTTGTACTTTGGATGTGATCACATACGGCTTTTATTACGAAGAGATATTCATCCTGAAAAGAAAGACACAATATCATTTATCGATAACTTGCAAGGAAGAACAAGAGTGGCAAAGAACAACTTTTGAGTCCTTGTTCGTAGACGATTGTTTGACTGATTTTATATTGTTTAACGTCCCTCTCGAGAATGTTTTACTCATATGGAGACGTAAACGTATGCCAGTGAAGGGCTTAAAATTTAGACCTATACTCGGCATTCAGAGCCATTGAGCAATGAGGGTTTTTTTTTTATTGTGCCACCGTTCACGGTAGCTCAGTCGGTAGAGCGCTCGCTCTGTGATCGGGAGATCATGAGTTAGTATCTCGACTGGGACTGACGTGAAAGTTGCACGTCCTTCGTATTAGACCTTAAAAACCGAGGCCCCGTGTCAGCGGCAGGCGTTGGCACGATAAAGATCCCTCACTGCTCTATGGCCCAGAGTGTCGAATAAATGCAAAATGTGAAGCCCTCCACTGGAAAACTATGATGTCACTATGTGAGTGAAAAATTATCAAAAACGGGCGTTAAATAAACAATATACAATAAATCAATCAAACAATCTTTTTCCCGCCAGTGCATACTGCGAAACGGGATCTACGTTTTCAAGGTCATATCCGAAAGATCCGGCCGTGACTTTCACTTCTAGTGTCGTACGCTTGTCGTAGGAGTAGTCAATACTAATGTTTACGTCTTAGGTACGATGCGGCCTCGCGAACGAGAATCGAACTCAGGCCTCCCAATTACGAAGCGAACGCTCTACCACTAAGTTACCTGATCGGTCGTAAGTAGATGAAAGATTTATCATAATTAAAAAAAATGCTTTCATTTCTTAATATCCAAATCCATTTTTTAAATTATTTTTCTAAGGAATAGTTTAAGATTTAAAAAATACAAATATTTAAACCAGGTATTATTAATGCCAACTAGAAACATGTTAATTATGGCTACATGTTACATGGTCCATAATATTGTACTGACGGACTTATTCATATACAATTCTTAAAGCTTAAATAGCCAAATCATAGCACTATCAGATAGATGGAACCGCACCGATTCCTGGAAGTATTAGGTACATGTATCAGAAAATTAGTATCTCGACTGGGACTGACGTGAAAGTTGCACGTCCTTCGTATTAGACCTTAAAAACCGAGGCCCCGTGTCAGCGGCAGGCGTTGGCACGATAAAGATCCCTCACTGCTCTATGGCCCAGAGTGTCGAATAAATGCAAAATGTGAAACCCTCCACTGGAAAACTATGATGTCACTATGTGAGTGAAAAATTATCAAAAACGGGCGTTAAACAATATACAATAAATCAATCAAACAATCTTTTTCCCGCCAGTGCATACTGCGAAACGGGATCTACGTTTTCAAGGTCATATCCGAAAGATCCGGCCGTGACTTTCACTTCTAGTGTCGTACGCTTGTCGTAGGAGTAGTCAATACTAATGTTTACGTCTTAGGTACGATGCGGCCTCGCGAACGAGAATCGAACTCAGGCCTCCCAATTACGAAGCGAACGCTCTACCACTAAGTTACCTGATCGGTCGTAAGTAGATGAAAGATTTATCATAATTAAAAAAATTGCTTTCATTTCTTAATATCCAAATCCATTTTTTAAATTATTTTTCTAAGGAATAGTTTAAGATTTAAAAAATACAAATATTTAAACCAGGTATTGTTAATGCCAACTAGAAACATGTTAATTATGGCTACATGTTACATGGTCCATAATATTGTACTGACGGACTTATTCATATACAATTCTTAAAGCTTAAATAGCCAAATCATAGCACTATCAGATAGATGGAACCGCACCGATTCCTGGAAGTATTAGGTACATGTATCAGAAAATTTCAGATTTCAGAACCTAAGAAATCTAATTTTTGTGGAAAATTATACATGTATATTAAGAAAAAGATTGTGTTTACCCTAACACAGATCTTCCTCCGTATTGTACAAGTGCGCAGACAAGTTGAAGAAGTGACATAAACCATGGTCTATAGTATCTTAGAATTAATGCTGATAGACCAGGGATTTTGATACAATCTTTTAAAATGATTATGAAAAAACCTTCTCACAATCGCATGCTGAAATTAAATGAATAACAATTTCTAACTAAAATACGTGACCTTGAAATACAAGAAAACGACGAAATGGTAGATACAACAATTGATGTTTCCGGCTTTTATATTGTGCCATTAACTGTATGCTTTAGAGAGCAGTTTTGAAGCCATATCCTTGCTTTACTGACATTTTTCCTAATTGTTTTCGCTTTATATGTTATATGTAATCTTAAAGCAAATACGTGATTTTGAATTATTGTGTAAATTTAAACGGTTTATCTTAAACTGTCAATTCTATCTTAATATACATCCATATTGTATTTATTGAATTATTAGATGACAGTTTCATCATGCAATAATCATATAATTACGTAAATTATCATATCTGTATTAATATTACTTATTCGTAGTAATGTTAAAAGGCAGATATAAATTTAAGGGGGTGTGTCTCTCTTTCTTTTTGAACAAATCATGTCAGAAAAAATACATTTTAACACTAACAGATATATCCAAATCTAAACTTGGCTATATATACAGCACATAAAAGACATTTTTATATACAAAATACTTTCCGCTTCTTTTTAACATGTTATAATTTTTAGAGTCTTTTCTACTCTTCTTCCCTATTTATGTAAAAAAAAAAAACAATTAACCCTACAATCTTTGACATAATTTTGTCCTTCCTTGAGTAAGAAAAAGCATTTCTTCAAAAAGCTATCAATACTTCGGGGTACAAAACAGTACACTTAAGTCTCTACCAAAAAGAACATAAATGAATTGCAAAAACAAAGTGCTCTTCAATTTTCTCTACATGTTGCTGCTTTGCAATGTATAAAAAGACGGCAATTAAACTACATTTAGCATTAATTTATCCCTCTTCTAAGGAATCCTATTTTTTCAAAAAAACTCAGCTAATAGTGTGATATTAGGTAATGCAATCCTCGTATGATGACATAGGTTTTTGCAAAAACTGTTATTAACTTAAATATATACCAAATAGAATAATGTCTTTTAGAAGAAAGCTTTTCAATATACGAGGGTTGATCCAAAAGTTTGTGGAATTGCTTTCCAAAATTTCATTGTGATTTGATGAAAGCAAACAACAGTTATATTTATAATATAGAGTCAAAATGAACCAACATTAGAAAATTTCACCAATTTCCAATTACCAATAAGGTCGCAAGAGTTTTCTGAAATTCGATTGTTGTGCAACACGGGGGAGATTTCGACGTTATGTTAAATTTGATATTTCACGTCGCATTATAGAAGCATCTCACCCTATTGTCTAATTCGAATACGTAATTCTACAAAATGCTGCCCTTTTTTCCATTTTTTTTTTCTCAACAAAAACCCGGATATTTTTTTCTCAACAAAAATCCGGATATCATCTCGCACCACCTTACCTTTTTTTTTTCATTTATATCTCAAAATACTCCAAGCTTTCCATATGATGTTTGAATATAAGTATGATGATAAATGATGATAAATATTGTTTAGTAAAAGAATTTTAAAAATGTATATTTTTTCTATATAATCATTCAATCTTAAAAAAAACGTTGACAAAAGCAATGACTCCTCTTCAGGTATCTTCATTCTTTATTGTACTTGTAATATTAAATAATTTCCCAGATATTAAAAGAAGCAAGTATTTTAGAACTATCAGCATCAGAATTATGCATTTGAAGCAGTTTTTACATGATTTTTTTTATAATACTGTCGACTTTGAACGTACGGTTTTTAAGTTCACATATACTTCTGTATATATAAGTTTCCCATATTTAATTATATGGCAACCAGTCCTTTTTTGCAATAATTGCTAAATTCAAACGATAATAAATGAAAATGAATTAAGTGTTTTGTTTTGTACTTCTAACCATTAAAATTGTGAGGGTGGAAATACCTTAACCTTTTCGCTACCGTACAGATATGAAGTTCAAATTACGTACAGTGCCGTGACAGTTTTTATTACGTTTAATCTATGACGTAACGTTACTTTGACGTCACAAACAAGGGAGGTAAAGGTAAAAAAACGTTTTCGCCTTTCACTTTTTGCAGAAAATGGTTTAAAGACAGCAATAAAGAATAAATTCTAAAAAACGAAACGATACATGCAAAATTCATGCACAAATAATATATTTTCAGTAGATTATGTACTAGAGGTACCTTTATTTATAATAATAAAAGTTAGAGTGATTTTAAATGAAATAAAATAAATATTAAATATAGGTTAACAAACTAAATAAAGTATAAAATAAGTTATAACTGATAATTTTCAATTAAAGTTTATTCTTTTTATTCTTTACTAACTTGGGTATTTAGTTATATAGCTATACGCCCCTTTGGATCCACACTTGTACATACACTTTTACATGACCACACACATATCTATTGGTCAGTGTTTGAAATGCTTAGTTTCCATTGGTTAGTGTTTTGTCTTTGTGGGGTTGTGAGTTTTATTCAGTTTAGACTCTAGAATTCTAATTTCAAATTGGTGAAGACTTGGTTTATTCTGTTGCTGACTGTAATTTATTTCTAAAGACATAAAGACCTAAGACACTTCCAGAAATGTAACACCACAAAGTAAAGAAAGTATTTAATTGCATAGGAGAAAGTTCAATTCCGTAAATTGGACATATTCATTGTTTCCCTTTTTTCCAAATTGTCCGAATTATAAACAGCTAAAGATGTCAACATAATAAACGTATAAAACTACAACTGGTGTTTTCCATCATATTGCCGGGAATACCCGCTACAAAATGGCGCCCAACGGAAAATCCACATGTAGGCCTAGACTCGAACAACCCAGACTTATGATTCCAGAAATATCCGATCAACCAAGCGCTTTAGTGACACTGATCAGTGACTGTGAGTAACTAATTCGAATT